TGCATTAACATAGTGCTAGAGTCTTGGTATGAGAAAAGGAGATGTTCAGTTTGGGATAATAAGTTTCGTAATTCGATCAATTATGTAAATTTAGTTGCAAAAATGTGCCAATCTCAAACATTTATTTGGTTTTCTTGATTACACTTGCTTGTTAATTATAAAATTGTACAGGTTTGTCTAGATTTAGAAAAAAATAATTTTTAAGCAGTATTTTATTTTAATTTATTATCAATTAACAGCGTTATTCAAAAGTAAAGGTCTTGGTCGTTTGAGGTGGTATGTGATTTTGGTAGCGGTTAACGCAGGGCTAGATGAAGATATTATTTCTTACACATGTATGATTTCACTTTATTTTTTAGCTAGCGACGGCCACGGGTCAATTTTTTTTGAGATCGACACGTGTGTAACAGATTGCTGTCGCGCTAATAGTGTCTTCTATTATTATTATTATTATTCAAGCTTGCTTATGATTTTGCCAGAATTTATCGAAGGTGTTGGCAACGAGGTATTGATATGCGCACTCTCCCTGGGAGGGATTCTGCTTTGTGTTGGCTTCCGATTATACAGTCATGGCTTTCGTGTTCTCCCATCACCATCAAATGCACATAGTCAGTCTATGAATTCGAATTCCCATAATGTGGAAAGCACTGAGCATGCTGATTCCGATGAAGTTGCCGTTGCTTACCATACTGGAGTTCTAGATACGGATTACATGGAGTCTCTGCGTGATGTCAACCATCATCATGAAACTGGTAGGTGGTAGGTGCAACTAATATCCTCTAGGATCTTTTTTTCATATCATCGTTCTGTTTTTATCTGCACCTTATCTTGCTTCACCTGTGTATGTTGAGTTTGTAATCAAGGCATGTATTCCCTTAGATTCTTTGGAGGTTGGAGAAAGTTCTCAAGGAAAAACACGGGCGGATAATGAAAGAGAGTTACGAGAGGCAAGGGCGCAGGGCAACATTGTTCTGCGGCTGCAGTACCTAAATGATCGAGTACGCTACGTGCATGCCCCTCCTGAAATGCCCGTCCTTCTGTTTAAGCGGTGCGTTCTTTGATGGATGAAAATTCCTTGCATACAAAATGCAGCGTTTTGCAGTAATTTTTGTAGTTATTTGTACTTCGCATTTTGGCTTCAATTACCATCCCTATGAGGTGCTCTTATGTCCGTTTTTATATTCTTAAACATGGAGTTTGATTGAAAAATCTCCTTCATGCACTTTATTCTGCGAGGCATTTTCGTGCCCCTCCTTAAGGTCTCCCACTGGTAATCTGTATCTATTGCGTCATGGCGTCAACTGGAATAACGGCTTCAGATTCAGTCATCTATCTTTGTATTTATTATCTTGGTCGTTTTCTGTGGTATCATCCTGGGAAAAACCTACACAGCATTATTATTTGCTGAACATTGACAAAATTGTCTTCTCATACACGAAACTCATTGCATCTCTAAGCCGTTTCTTTGTCATTGCAAATAAAAGACTAGTCCTATTGTCTTCCCTTTCGCTGAACCACCATCTTTTCACAGCGGCTATCTATGGGCCCAAAAATTGTAGCACTGATGTTGACCAGTATCGCGCTAAATTAATGACACTGTAACTTAATCTTGTTTCTTTTTGTTATTGAACTGTTATTAGCTTATGCTCTTTGTGTGAGAATTGTAACCCCTTACTCCCCTCACCAAACAAGCTTGTGGGATTCGCCAGGTGGCAAGGGGATATCTGCTCACAGGCACGCTTCTTTCTGATCAACGCTTATCAGCCATCTCTCCATTCCCTTGCACATGTGATCGTGCAATAATGAGGTACTGCTTACATTGTGATGCAAAAGTCATCTCTCATCACAAGTTACCTGGTCATTAAAATGCATGAAAGTGGCGTGGCGTAACGTGTACCTGAAATTCAACTGCTTACATTTAGTTTATCATTTCCTCTTGCCAATTAGTAGAGGCGTGAGTTTGTCTGTTTTCTTCGTCACTACCTCCGAAAATAGATTTGAGTGGTACGATTGTTCACCTTTGGAACTTTCATACTTAGTTCATGAAATTAGCACGCTTGATTTATAAGATGAATGTGGGTTTAAAATGCTGGGTAATGTATTTTATGCAACTTTGTTTTGGAAGAAGGCACATTCTAGGTTGTGTGGTCTTTTTGGTACATTGTTAACTGCAGAAAGATATCTTTTTCGTATATGTCCTGCTCACTTCTGCAAAGAATCCCGTTTCCAAAAATTGTGCTCGTCTGTATGCTTTCATTTCTGGGAATTCTATAATGCACATTTCAGAAAGTTCTTCGCTGACGAGTTGGAACGCCAGCACAAGAGCGTTCGCCTGATATTTCAAGGCCGCGAATTGAAGCCTTCAGCGGCCGCATCTCGCGACAGTCCCTCTCGTCGTCGTCTTTGCGATTACGGCGTCTCCGACAACGCCACTATCCACTGCCTCATTAGTGATGCTCCACCCAATTCAGCGTCATCGTCATCTTCGACCTCGGCGGATAGAGTCGCTTCACCTGCCGGTTCAGTGCTACGACCTAACTTCTCTGCGCCTGAAGATTTAGATTTTGGAAGCCATGCAATGATGCCTCTCTTCGCCTTTCTCCTCACCTCTGTATGGATCTTTCGCATTGCACACGCAGAATACTTCAGCCTTGTATCAACCGTTGCGCTTGTCTGTCTTTCGGCGCTCTTTGCTGGAGCAGTATTCAGTTCTGCTACAGTACATCGAAGGCATACTGCGGAGCGGTCTTCTGTCGCTGCAGGTGATGCAATACAGACGTCATAATTGGGAGAATGAGCAGGAAAAGATAGTATATGTCTCATTTGTCTTTCGTGGTACACACGAGAATGTGTGATGTAAGTGAGGGAAATTGAAATGAATGATTTTTATTTCCTGTAAGAGTTGTTTTTCAAACAGTGGTGGCTCCTTTGAATGCCTTGTCGTAGATGAATTTGCCCAGCAGTGGTGTGAGCACTTGGTGCATTAGGGTTGCGATTAGGGTCCTGCCGGCATGCGGCGTGCGTTGGATTGTTTCTCCAGAGGTAGGAGGCTCTGCTTACCTCATCAGTCTTCAGAGTTAATGGTGTGGTGTAGGTTGGTTGGTTGGTTCTGTCGTTCTCTGGGCAATGTCGAGTTATGAGTCCACCCTAATTTGAGATACAAGATTATTTGCATTATTGGTTTAAAATTTCGATTTCATTGCAAATAATTTTTGGACACTATGTAGATTTCCTCGATGAGTATTATTAAGAATACCCTCTTAATGTCTTTTACTAATTGGCTTGGAATCGACCAATTGAATTTAGCCGGAGAGTTTAATTCGGGTGGGGATGCGCTGTGTCTAGTGCTATTCGCGAGGATTTGTAATTGATGCCTTAACACATTAATAAACTCCTCAAAGTAAAGCTATTTTTTGAGTGCTTAAGTGATTGTTTTTTAGTTGTACGTATTTAACCCAAAAAAATTATTCGTTCATGCAGGCTAGCGCACTTTCTTAAATTTTCCTCACTGATGTTCGAATTACCTTATTGCAGAGCTTCTTGAGCCACCGAAATGGCTAGTTCGATGTCCGAAAAATTACTAGAGGAGCGGAAACAGCTTCCCATCTGGTCACATCGGGAGGAGCTAGTGGAAATAGTGAAAAAGTATCCCAATTGTGTTATTGTCAGCTCTACCGGCTCGGGTAAAACGACACAACTGCCTCAATTCCTGTTTGAGGCTGGCCTCGCAAAGTCAAATATGATAGCTATTACTCAGGTTAGTTGCGTTTTTTGCACTTATTTTTGATACAAATGTTAATGTTTTTTAATGCGTTACGAGGCAGCATATCTGCAAAATACGTTATGACATTTGCTTCTTGCCTTTAAAAGCGATTTAGGTGCATTTTTAACCACGTTTCATGCGTTTGATTTTTGTTCGGCTTATACTCCAAGCTAGTATCGTTTTATGCCCATTAGCTGGAAGACCTTGCTTTTGCATGAAGCACTTTGTTTGGTGAAAAGTACTTGATGCTTACCCCGGTACAGTTGTAATGGTGTTGCCAATTTCATATTCCTTTTTAATCTTTCATTTACCTTATTAGTTCTTAACCTCATGTATGTAGCGTTACTTAGAAA